CTACAAAGAATGTAAGGTGCTTACAGTTATTTTCACAAGCAATTATTTGCTTGTGAAATAGAAAGGGTGTGAGCCCCGATGATACCTGAGTGAAGAATATTTGAAGCAGATAGAAAAGCTGGAACAGAGGCAACTGTGTGACTTTGAGTCTAAGGGACAGTTTTCACTCCCGAATGAAAACTATGTAGCTGTCTGGCTTTGTTAATTTGCTCACCTCAAGACGTATTTTCCCTGGGCAGTACCATCCTGCTAGATGCTTCAGTGCTGCCATGAGTCACCAGTCACCCTGCAGGGTGACCCAGTCACAAGATTCCAAACAGTTCCTACCCTGTGAGCTCCTTGAGGACAGGGCTGGGATTTACTCTTATTTCCAAATCCAGGCACACAAGTGAATGAAAGACAAAGATGCTTGTTGTGAGGGCAGTTCATGACCATTTATAATTAATATGCTAGGTTTAAACACTGCTTCCACAGAGCTCCAAAAATGTGACAGAAATGGAAGTCGAAAATTTATTTCCTCACTATATTTGCCTTTTCAGGAGGTAATTAATCTGGTATCAGCCATTTCTCTTTTACACATATTTTGTAGGAGTCCAATGAATAAATATATGTGAAAGAACTTGGGTTCTATTGTATATCAAAAGAGCTTTCAAACCTGTTTTTAAACTCTCAGAGAGTAGCAGCCTTTTACCATTCTTATGATGTGAGTTAGATACTTCCCAGAGTAGTATTTTACACTTTTCAACAACAGAGTTTGTGAAATTTCTTACATACCTTTCCTTGCCCATCTGGGGCTGTAGGTAAAATTTTGATGGCTACATGCATGACGTGTACTTGAAGCAAGTCTTAAATTCTTAAATTCTCAGAGCCTCAATTTCTTTATTTTCAAATAAGAGTACTATCTCTTTTAATATAAAAATATGATCGGTAATATAAACATATTTCCAAGATTTGAACATAATAATCTATATGAAACAATTTTGTAAACCTTAAAGTGCTATATAAACAACACTTATTTAAATTAAAATCATCATTAATTACATTAATAGTGATCTTAATATATAATATCTAACCCTGCCCAAAGAGAAAGGAATATTTTACCTTTTCAGGTTTTTTTGACACACAGGGATCACACACACACACACACACACACACACACGCATGCACGAATGTCTAGTAGAATTTTTGGTCCACAGAACTGCAGCATGTATCAGGCTGAATACTTTGAAATCTGCTAGGGAAAGCTGGATTCTTTGCTGTCAGCCCAAAAATCCATGCTAAGTTCTTTTGCCAAATGACATTTGCTGTGGTTTGAATGTCCCCACCAAAGCTCATGTTAAGAAGTATTAGGTTATGAGGGATCTGCTTTCAAATAGATTAATGTACTTATCATGAGAGTGGGTAGTTATAGCAGGAGTGAGCTCTTGATGATAAAAATATAAGTTCGGCAGAATTCTCTCTTGATTTCTAGTGCTTGCTTCCATCTTTTGTCTTTATACCATGGGATGACCCTTGGCAGATGTCAATGCCATGCTCTTGGAATTCCCACTTTCAGAATCATGAGCCACACTTTTTCTCTTTTTAATAAGTTATCCAGTCTGTGACATTCTGTTATAGTAGCAGAAAACAGAATAACACAGAAAATTGATACTGAGAACTATTATTATTTTTAAAATATCTGAAAATGTGGAAGTAGTATTGGAACTGGGTAATGGACAGAGGCTGGGAGAATTTAGAGAAGCAGGCTACAAAAAGTTTATATTGCCTGGAATGGAGCATTAAGGGTGATTCTGGTGAGTGCTCAGAAGACAGCTGTAGGAAACGTCAGAATCTTCTTTGAGATTACTTAAATGGTCATGACCAGAAAGTTGGTAGAAATATGGACAGTAAAGACCCTTTTGATGAAATCTCAGACAAAAATGAAGAACAAGGTATTGGAAACTAGAGGAGAGATCATCCTTATTATACAGTAGCAAAGACCTTGGCTGCATTGTGTCCATGTCCTAGGACTTTATGGAAGGAGAAACTTAAGAACAGTGCACTAGAAATCAGTGGAAGAAATGTCTAATCAGCAAAAGTTGAAGTTGATGCATAGCTACCTTTAACTTCATACAGTGAGATGTGAAAGGAAAAGAATGACCTAACATTGGAATTTATAATTGAAAGACAAACTGAACAGAAAGATTTGGAAAATTTGCAGCCTGGCTATGTAAAGGGTAGAAAAGTGTATTCAGGAAAGAGTACTAAATGTATGCCCAGGCAACCTTTTGTTAGAGGTTAATGTGGATAGCAAGGTACCATTCATCAAGAAAATAGGAGAAAGACCCTGAAGACATTTGAAAGACCTTTGAGGCTGCCCGTGCTGTCCCAGCCCCAGAGTTCTAGGATGATAGAATAGTTTTAGGTGCCAGACCCTGCCTGGTTGCTCTCCCTGGACTTACTGCCCAGGGCTGCCTTGGCGGTTGACTCCCTACATTCTGGCACAGCACTCTTCAGACACCCCAACTATGGCTTCTGTGGTCCCAGGTGCAGCTTGACCCACTGTTTCACAAGATACAGGTGGTAAGCTTGGTGAAATTCACGTGGTGTTTAGTCTGCAGTCTCACAGAATACAAGAGCTCTGGGGGCATGGCTTCATCCATCTTGATTTCAAAAGATGATGCTTACTTCTTTGGCACACAGGCTGAGACTTTGCACAGGGGCAGAACCACCACAGAGAGCCCCCACAGAGCAGTGCCTTGAGGAGCCAAGGAAATGGAGTTGACACCAAAACCCTAGAGCTTCAGGCATGAGACTCCAACCCATGAGAGCTGAAGCATAGGCTGAGCCTAGGAAAGCTATGGGAGCTGAGCTGCCTGAGGCTTTGGGGGTCGAACCCCAACCCAGTGTGCCCAGGATGGAGAATATGGAGTGAAAGGAAATTATTCTTCAGCTTTAAGATTTAATATTGTTCTTCCTGTTGGGTTTTGGACTTGCTTCAAATGAGTTATCCCTCTTTTCTTGCATATTTCCCCATTTTAGAATGGGAATGTCTATTCTATGCCTTCGCACATTGTATTTTGGAAACAGATACCTCATCTGGATTTCACAGCTCATGGTTGCAGAATATTTGCCTTCAGGATGAAGCCTCACCCATATTTGATTTAGATAAGACTCTGGATTTTGAGTTAATACTAGAGTGACTTTTGAGCCTACTAGGATGGAATGAATATATTTTGCATTGTATGAAGGACATGAATTTGGCAGAGGGGGGAGAGGAGGGGCAGAATGCTGCAGTTTGAGTGTCTCACCAAAATTCATGTTGACATTTAATTGTGATTGTAACCATGTTAAGAAATGGGATATTTAACAGGTAATTAGGCACCTTTTAGGCTCTTTCATTAGACAGAGCCCTCATGAATGGATTAATGCAGCTATAGAAGGAGTAAGTTGGTTATTGCATGAGTGGGCTCCTTATAAAAGGGTGATTGGGGCTCAATTTTCTCTCTGTCTCGTGTGACCCTTAGCAGAGGTCAGTGCCGTGTTCATGTACTTCCCAGCCTCCAGTGAGTCAAATGAACTGTGTCCCTTATAAATTAAGTCTGTGGTATACTCTAGCAGCAGAAAATGGATTCAGGCAACAAGGAGAGCTATAAAATACTTCTTTTCAGCTGCACTGGCTTTCATTATCATTATTTGGTTAGATGCTTTTGAGGACATTTTCTGTTGCATTCCTCCATGTTTGGCAACCACACTCTATTGTGGAGTATTCTGGCTAAGCACCTAGCCTTCTTTTACTTATACCAGCAGGATGTAGTTGATCAGGGTAGTGAAAATCCACTGTGACATTGCAAAGACTCACTGCTATAAGAGGCCAGGAGTGAAATTCTCATTGTTTATAAATGTAGCTTCGTAAGTCCTAACCAAAATTTGTATCACCTTCAACATTACTCAATCTCAAGTCAATATTACTGCTTTTGAAAAATGTGGTTTTGGGGATACCACAACTAAAGGGGATGTAGGAAATTTAAGAGGCTTTGGATGAAATGATGAAGGTAACTAAACTTTTATTAAAAAAGAAAAAAACTGAAGCACTGAGATAACATAGAAAAGGGGAATAATTATAAAGTGAGAATAAAAAGGAAGGTTTACTTTAAATAAACCGATCAACTAGTGATTTAGATCATATGTAACAGGAAGATTAGATTTGATATGTTCTTGCGAACAAAAAGGTATTCCTATTGAATATACCTTTATATCTTGCTTAGTACCTAAATAAGTATTAGCTTTTTCTTTTTATAAGTTATACATAATATGTTTTAAAGCAGCCATTTTCATATTTCAGAAACATCTGATAAGTGTAATAATTTGATTCTTTGAGTTTATGGAACTTAATTCAGTGAATATTTGTGTCAGGGGTTGTGGCAGATTTTGATTTTTTTGTGGAAGAGGTCAACACATACATACTATTTTAAAAGGCAGCAAAAATAATTGTATTTTTGTATGTTTTGGTTATAAATTGCTTTTAATTTCATGAATTTCAGTTTAGGAATGTTTAATCTTCACATTCTTCACTTGATTTGAGTGAGAAAAATAAAATTTTCTTGGTTACGAAATTCTCAAGTGATTAGCAATGATTTCTTTAAAAGACTGAAGGTGCATATTCAGTGGTTGTATAAATGGCTACTGCTGTTGTAAACTAGATTAACAATCAGTGCTTCTACAAATCTAAATATTTGTTTTTACTTTTTACTAGTATGAACCTGGAACTTTTCAATTCAGGGACATAATATAATAGAAAAGTTTTGCAAAGGCTTTGTAATCAGACAAACCTGGTCTCAAATCCTGGCTATCATGTGCTTGCTATGGGCCTAGAGCAGCTTACCCAAATGTTACTAACCTACCTCCATAGGATTATTGTAAAGATTAAATGTGATGCATCTGTTCAGTAACTAATAGAGTGCCTATTAAAAGGTAGATGTTCAATAAATATTAATTCCTTTCTTTCTTTTTCTCACTAGTCCACTTGTGTTTTTAATGAATCATCATTTACCCTGGAGTGTATTGTAGGAGGCATCGTGGATGGATGGCTGCTGGAAATCCCTTGCCATAGCCAGCTCTTCTTCAATACTTACAGATTTACCGTGGTTTTGAGTAATGAGAATTTTGGTAAGAAAAAAATAAATTGAACTAGCATATGGAATTTCCCTAAAAGGTTGTTTGCATCTTACATTCTTTGCAATAAGTTATAGGGTTATTCTCTAAAGATCTTGGGATATCATAGATGTCTGTATAGATTTGGATTGTTCTTATTTTGAAAATAAATAAAATAGGTTTTTTAAAACTGTATGATGATCTTGATAGGCCCTTCTTGTCATTTTAAATGTGTTATTTCACTTATCCTACTCGTTTGTATTCTCTAAATGTCTTTGTACTCACTAAATTGTGTAGTCTTAGAGGGCAGGGTCTGGGTATCATTCATTTTTTCAGTGTAAACTAAAGGAAGCATGAACGCTTAGTGGTTAAGGTGGCAGTTAACTGCTTTCTGAAACTATAAAAGCTTTGACAACACAGAAGATGCAGGTAACAGTATAAAACTGTGGTAAGTTCTAGCATAAATGATTTTCCTCAATCACCAAGAAAAAATATTATATAGTCACTCTCAAGATAGAATGAAGTATCTGTAATTGGTTCCATTTTATCCCAATTTTTTGCCAAATAAAAATAATTCATTTTTATATATTTACATTAAGTTAATATAACTAGTCCATCTCTATTAGTAATGCCTGTTATTAACCTGTGCTGTATACAATATTCTGTATACAATATTATGGCCTATTAAAAAGAGAGAAGAATGAGGAGGAGGTCAAAGATAATATAAAAACATTAAGTGGTGACATTGGCATATATGTAAATGAACAAATATGTCAACTTTGTTAAATTATCTTTGACATGCATCTGCAGAAATATCTGTTAAAGAATTTTGTGCATAAGAGACAGAGCTGGAGGTAGGAGAGAAAGCAAAGAAAAGATAAATTCTAGTTTTATTATTTTTGATAAGGAGGATTAATTTTATATGACAAACATATATCTTTAGACCTAAAAATATGTTGACATGTTATTTTAAACCTCACTTTTTAACTAAAAACTTTAACCATTTGTTTATGATTATCTTTTTCAGAAACCACGTTTGAGAAGTATTTCCATTCAGTGCTACTTGTGTTTACTTCTAAACAGTCATTTTCTAACTGAGGCTGGCATTCATGTCTTCATTTTGGGGTAATTTTATCTTTAGGCGTAAATAATATGTTCATGATAATGACGATTGTCCTTGGATATCTTACCCATTAAGTTAGTTTATGTTCAGTTTGCTTATATCTCTAGGTACTCAGTATCTGGGGGATAGAAGGCAGACTGTAGAGATTCAGAGGAGGTTTGGTAAACATCTAACTGAGCATTCCTATGGTGTTGTAATTGTCCAAAAGAGCATTATAGCCCTCAGATAAATTGGGCCTTGTGATATTTAACTGAATGTGGAAGTATATCACTTACTGATAGACTACATGTTTTCTATGGCAATTAATAGTGGATATTTAAAATTTGCTTATGTTACTTTTTTATCTGTCCCTAACACTGACTCCTCCTATCCCTTGATCCTTATCCTAGTTCAGTTTAAAACATTTCTTTCTTTTGTTTTTTCCTTCTAATAAAATTCATATGTTTCCATGACTATTAACTTTTTTCTTCTCTCTTAGATGCAGCTAATATACCCAGTTGGCCCAAAGCACCTAACCTATAGTTATATAATCTGACTCTCAGTTCAGTTTTACTCTACTAATGCCTTCATGGTATTGGGAACCATAGATTTGTGCAGGTAATTCTTCATCATAAGACAGATTAGTTTGACTATCATGCTTCTGTGTAAGGTCCATCAGGAAGTGACTGAATATTTTTCCTCAAGCTCTAAGAATCATGGGAGGCCGAGGCGGGTGGATCACGAGGTCAAGAGATCAAGACCATCCTGGTCAACATGGTGAAACCCCGTCTCTACTAAAAATACAAAAAATTAGCTGGGCATGGTGGTGCGTGCCTGTAATCCCAGCTACTCAGGAGGCTGAGGCAGGAGAATTGCCTG